GGCGCCCCCCGGCCCCGCCGGGCCGGGCCGGGCCGGGCCGGGCCGGGCAGGGCCGCTCTCCCGCTGCCGCGGCCGGGGCCGCACGGGGGTCCCACCAGTTGAACGCGAGGGCGGGGAGCGCCGAGCCGCGGCCGCCCAGGCGCGCTGGCAAAGCGCTGCCTGAGGGGGAGCGGGCGGGGGCCGCCGCGCCCCTCTCCGCCCCGGGGGCAGGACGGCCCCGCGGCTCGGGCGCACACGCTCCGAAACTTCAGAGGCGGAGCGGCGGCTGCCGGAGCGGGGAGCGGGGAGCGGGTCCTGACGGGCAGCGCCCCGGCCCCCGCCTCCACCCGGCGGGCAGGCCCGGCCCTCAGCCGGCTCGTCCCGGGCCGGGCGCCCTTGCGGCTCCGGCTCCTGCTCGGGAGCGGTGGCGGTGGCTCGGGCGCTGGGCTGCGGTACACCTCGGTATCACAGCCCTTCGCTATCCGAACCCCTCGCTATCCGAACCCCTCGCTATCCGAACCCCTCGCTATCCGGAACGCGCGCCCTCGAAGTCGGGAGGGGAAGATGTCAGGGGTGTAGCCCGGGCGGAACGGCGGTCTCCATTCAGCAGATTCATGTTGACGGGTTGAAAAAGAGTTGGAAGCACGGCTGGGAAAGCTCAGGCGCTTGGGACCCAGGCATAGCCGGAGGGGAGGGCAGGAGAGCCCTCCCGGAGGAGGTGGGGGCTGAGGAGATGTCTGCCATTAGGCATGTTTATCCTGACAAGTAGGAGATTCGTAAGGTGCTGCTTCGCTTTCTGGGTTTGTAGGCTGGGAGGCTGGTGGGTGTCATGAGGGGAGAAGCTGAGAACTGGCTGCTCCATTTAACTTCCTTTTTTTTTTTTCCTCTCTTCCCCTTTTATAATATTTTAGGCAAATATCAAAGGCCGCGGTGAGCTCAGAAAGTTCAGACTGGTGTGGATGCTCAGCCTCCTGTTTAAAGACTGCTGATAATGGTTCCAGAAATAGCATCATCTTCTAGTAGAAGCTTTTTTCCTTCTTAAAGAAAAAAAAGTGTATCATCGAAGTGTATCATCATTGTTTGTTTCTCCAAGCATGCAGGGAGAAAGACAATTGGTAAGAGGTACTGTCAGTCACAGCTCTTTCTCTGAAACGTAAGGATCGGGCTTCAGCACTCCTGCTGCAGTGAAGAAGGGGCAAATTTTAAAGAACTTGGTAGAGCTAGAGGTACCAGAATGTCTTTTAGGGAAAAGACAGGTTCAAGAGGGTTATTAAATTATTCATATGTATGTAAACTCTCTATAGGCTCATATATAAACTTTCTCATTTGTAACACAAAATCAAGTCCAGGCCAATGCTGGTGATATGTCCAAGAGGAGGGAGGACAGAGGAGCTATCAAAGATCACTGACAGAGATCTGAAAAGCACAAAGGCCAGTGGTCATGTCTGACCACATTTTGAATTACTGTATACAATTTGACTATCATTTTTATATTACTTTACATATTATTTGGCTGTAATTTGGTAGTTTGGCATTGACCAAGATGGTTGTGCTGTTCTGTAGCTTGACCTCTGTCCAGGACAGACAAATATATCAGCTGCAAAGTGATATTAATGCATTTACCAGAGTGTGGTTTTTATCCTGTGGGACCACAAGCTCATTGCTAGCTTGGGATCTGGGCTTGCTGCAGACTGAGCTCTGGGCAGCCTGGTGGTGAAGAAGTAATTTCTTTATCCTTCTGCTATAACTAAAATCTTGCTTCGTTTTTTTAAATAGCAGCAATTTGAAGGTGCTGAGATAATAGAGGTGCTGGGAGATGGAAATTTTTCAGTCTGATGGAGGAGAGAAACTATTTGGACATCACTGATTGCAAATATTGTCCAAAGCTCTGGGCTCTAAGTGCACTGTGTGAGCAAATGCCCGTGTCTCTGGAGAGAAGAGCAGTGAATGTAATCAGCTGTGTCTCAAAGCAAGTGCAACATTTCCTTCCTGTGAGATCTTGCCTGTGAGAACAGGGTTATATCTGCCATTTTGTCATCATTGATTGTGTGTTTGTGTTCTTGCAGGCACTCCTGGTTCACTCCTGTGTCAGCTGCAGATTTCCCCAGTCGAGGGGACCGGGTTACGTTTGAGATCCCTAATGAGTGCTGCACTAATTAACTTTGGTCCTAGAAGGTCATTGAATGATGCAGTGGGATGCTCTTATTAACCTTACCCTGAGAGTTACAACCTGTACTGACCACAGTAAGTCTATTTCTTTTCTGTTTAGCTCAGAGCTGCCCTCACACAATACTCAGAAGTTAGAAAAAGATTCCCCAAGTCTGCTACACACGGAGCCAGAATAAGTTTAACTGTTTGACCTACAACAGTTCTGTCATCATCAATTGACACGTTCGTCTTTCTTTTCTTGAAATAAAGCTTTTCCCCAGTGTTCTGGCAGCAACACAAAGATTGCTGGCAATGAAGTCACCTTCAAAGCTGAGGCATTCATGAAACAAATGCATCTCTGGCAGCAAGTAAGGCAGCTTTCAACAGAATATTTGTTATGGCTATGCTGCAAGCAGAACTTATCAAGCATTTGTGTTGAGTATTTATAATTGTTTGATATATATTTGCCCATTTGGGCATAGCTCATCATGGGAATACCTTTTTCTTTTAAAAAAAAAGGGAGGAAGGGAGGCCAGGGGTACTTCAGGAAACCAAGAAAACACACAGAGCAGCTAAGTCACTAACAGAACACAACAAACAAGATTTTTTTTTCACCCCAAGAAATCAAAGTCTGTGAATCTGTAGTTAAATAGGAGGACAAAATGATTGAAAACAAGGAGAACATTGCTGTGGTTAAAGGAGGCTGTTTCACCAAAGGCCTCACCTGTGGTCCAAGCTGGAGAAGGGAAATGCCATGGTAGGCTCAAGGATTGATGCATCTATCAAAAACCTTTCTGTTACTGGCTGTGCCAGGCTTTCTGCCTCACTCTCCCTCTCATACACAGTTACCCTTCTGTTCTTAATGGATATATCTCCTGCTGCTGCTGAAAAGTAGAAAATGCTTAGGTAAAGATACAAGAAATGGAAATCTGGGTAACCACAACTGAGTTTTTTTTTTGAAGTGATGCTTTTCTGAGCAGCGTCATTCCTGAGATGAGTTAGTTGTTCCTCACAGAAGGTTTTAGGGATGCTTTTAAGGGGAGGCTAGTTAGAAAATAGGGATGTCCCCATTTGGGCTTCCCCTCATGGCTGACTTGTAGAGGTCATATGGAAATAGGTTAGTGTGAACTAAAGGGAAGGTGGTATCATCACTTTGATGATGTTGACATGAAAAAATAGCTGTCCTTGAGTACAGTGGAGTCATTTGAAGATTTTGAGATCAGAATTACATACTCTGATGAAGGAAGGGATAGTAGTGTATCCTCATCACGGTTTTTATAAAATCTTAGGGCTTTTTATTTGTACTCACATGTCGTTTATTGGCATCTGTTCAGATTTTTAATGCATAAAACAGTGTTAAGTGCTAGGATAGTACTGATCTTTGTAGTTTCCTCTGCAGGAGGCCTGCGAGCTGTTCCCATGTCAGAATGAGTAAAATGTCATTTTGGGCTTTTCTGAGTGATGGTGGGGAGCTTCCTGACAGCAGGTCCTGAAGGAAGAGCAGAGTGTCCCTCCTGGGCAGAGGAAAAGTGTGTCAAAGCACTGAGATGCCATCAAGTGTCACTAGAAGCTGTGCTGTACCAGAGGATTCGGAGTGTACATCTGACAGCCAATGTCCTGGTACAACTGGGACTCAGCTACGTCGTGCAGAGTGAGCTGAAGGGGTGTGGATAATGGATGAGTTGTCTGAATGAAGGTTATGAGCAAAAACAAGACTGCAGCTCATCAGGGAGTTTTTTTGTTTCATTTTTTTCCCTTGTTCTGTCTTTATTTTGGGCATTGGACAAAACTTCACTGCCTAAGGAAAAGCTGCAAGCTCAAAGTAGGAGATACTGCCCAGAAGACTGTAAACAGCTTAACATGAGCACAAGCTCTTCAATATGATGGACTGCTTTCATGACCTCTTTACAACAGATTACCATTTTTTTCTTGATCTTTATACCATTCACATTGTTAATAGAGACTACTCTGGGTGCTGTAGCTTGTCACATGCAATTTTAATCTATCTTAAGAAAGCTTCCTTAAAACTTGAGAAAGAGGGAGGAAAACACATCTCTTCTGATTTGCCTTCTAATTTGACAATCTCTTCCTTGACAGCTTTTGCAAACTCTGCTGGGAGAAAAAAAAGACATGTACTGAATAATTCAGCCTTGAGAGTGAATTGAGCTTGAGGAGAATTGTCGAATTCCCGAGTCTGTGGTTTGTGGTTTTCGTTATTGACTGCTCACATGGATTTAAAGTCCTGTCTCTGCAGTCGGTGGTTTTTATCTCCCCTTTGGATTCTGCAATTTTGTCTGGCTTTCCATCTCTGAGCCCCAGCTCTCTGTTCTTGCAAATAAACACACAAGAACCACTGAAGGACTTTCCTGCTTCCAAGGGGAGCCATAGATAGACTGCTGCACTAATAAATCAGAATTTCACTTTGGACCTGAATGTTGAAGATAGCCCAATGAAAGTTGATGGAGTCATTGTGCTAAGTGTGAGACACTCTTCCTACTCTCCTCCCCTCACCTGCTGTAATACCCAAATTCTTA